TGTAGAGGAGCTATTAAAAATGAACTAGTGCGTAATAAACAACGATTTATACAAATTAGAAGTATACAGAGGAATATGAATATAAATAAACAGTTTTTTAAAATCATACAGAGACTGACTCTCATTAGGAACTTGTACTAAAGAATACTATGCACATTCTATTATTGAGAAAAAGAAATTTTGAAACTAATATGAAAATTTAATTTCTAAATAAAGTGTTTATAAATGAAATATATAATTATTTAAAACATTCAACAATATGTGATATATAATTATTATTACATTATTGAGAGGAAAATTTAGTTACAAAAAAAAACACCTTTCATCATCGTTACAGCCTTTCAAAGACCACAGCTGAACATTGGCCTCCACGAAGATTGAATCATAGGGAGATAATAAAATAAGTATATTTTGCCACGCTTGGCTGGAGGGTTGGTGACCGCTATCTGTATATTTTGAACCGTTATCAGGAAGACACTGCGTTCCATCTCCTGTTTCACCTCTGACAGCTGACCCAACCTGTATAATATGGGGTAGTGGATCCTTTAGGTCATCACTACCGGGCGCAAAATCTTTATTACGCTTAATATTCTTTGTATTTATTAAAATCAGTTTCATTTCTGATTTTCAATTACATACTATAGTGTAGTACAGTATTTTATGTGACGTACGGTTTTCGTGTGACTGAAAATTAAAACCATAGTATCTAAATTTTACTAATTGTACTAATAAAACACTGTACGAGAAACCTTTACTTAAGTAAGTCTTAGAGTCTTAGACTATGTTTGCAACTACTACAAATACGAATATAACTATAAAAATTATTAAGCATTTGATACACTGATAGAGGCTATATGGGGTATGTTCCGAAATACAACCCAGTAGTATACTGGCCAATGCAAATGACGTCATAAATCGACGCCATATTGGTGATTCGTTGTATCGAATATTGTGAAATACGGCGTCAATTAATGACGCCATTTGCATTCGCCAGTATACTGAAAACATTTTGGAACATACCCATAGACCGTGTATGACTGGCCATACACCGTGACATAATGAGGCGTTTTGGCATTTTGACGCTGACAACAGAAGTGAACGTCCACGGAACTAATAATTGAGATAAGACAGTGTGATAAAATATATCGATAAAAATTCTATACCCTACCTATACCAAAATAAATAGAATGGACTTTACGGGTAGGCCTCTACCCGTAATGTCCATTCTATTAATGTATCACATTAATATAATGCCATCATCATTACAGCCAAGGAATGCCACAAAGCACGGTGCTGAGCCACTTGCATCCATCGAATTCCCTACTAATACACATCCAAGTCCTCGACAAGCCCACTCAGTGACCATCTCGGGCCAGCCATGTGAGTCCCCTACTTTTATCATGTGTTACCAAGCCAGGGCTACTAACCCTTCCCCCCCCCCCTCCCCCGTCATGAAAAGTCGGGAACCCGTTTAGGGAGGCGCTATTTCTCACGTAGACTCACGCAAACTCACTAAAGATATTAATAATTTTGCTTGACATAATAAATTGGTCATATTTAAACAGATTTTACAAATTTACGTGTTGTAAACACAAAGTCAACATCAGGCAATCTTTCTACACTTGGCCCTTCAGTTTGAGGGAAAATGAAAAGAGAAGAAATAAAAAATATTCGAAATAATAATCTAATACTTTTATACTTGCTAGTACTGATACTACCAGAAAATATTGTCAGTATACTGAACTTTTTCAAAGTGGTACGTTTCTAATGTATAATAAACAGTCATCTGTGAAATATTTAAAACAAATATGATAATTTTGTTTCGGACGGCAATTCAAAATATTAATGTTTTTAAGCCGTAATTTTAGTCTAAGTTCAGTTGGAAACCCGTTAATTAATAAACATTTGATAATTATTTATTATTGGTTGTTAACAGAATTGGTAGGAAAGAACATCGATAAGTACTATAGACAAGGAATTCGACAACCCTATAGAATTTTATTGTTTATCAAAACTCAGTTATATAAAGCCAAGCATGTTGTTAAGAGGTGAGAGTAAGTCAGCTCAAATTCTAATTTCGCCCCCACTTCCCCGCGCGTCGTATGCTATGTACCGACATGTTTGTAATCACTAATACTCTAAGTACATAGGTCGTTAGATACTTATTTCATTATGTTTATCATATATATGCCTGTTTCTTAACGCCAACCCAGTCGCTTCTTATTTTTATAACGGTTATTTCCCATTTTAATTTTACGTCTTCCTGTTGCGTAATGTGTTTTCTGATCGTAAGCGACACAACTTCTCCCTTCAAAAGCCGGAGCAATACTAACGGAGCGACAGGAACAAAGCTTACGCGCCGATAGTTTAGGTAATTTCTTTTTATAGTGAAAATAATGATATTTTAAAAAAATTAAATAACATAAGCACTGCTTTATGGTTAGTTCAGTTAGTATGCAAAGTTTCATGATCTTATTTAAAGTATTTTATGAATAACAGCGGTTTATTGTTCAGTTTGGAGGTAACTTTGGATTTTTTTTCTATCGAGAAAATTTTACGGAATCGTGTTTTCGTCTAACATAAACCTTAACATTAATCCTCAAATTTACCATATATTTATTTCAAAATTAATGCTGCAATACTTTCGGCATAACGGAGGATCTTGCTAAGCCATTTGAGGTTATATTTCCCCTTAATTACGATATTTATATTAGTAACACATTTTTGAGTATACATATATTATCATGTACTTTTTAATTTGTTTAATATTAGCTTATTAATATTAGCTGTAAATTGTGGAATGTGATAACACTTTCCTTTTGGTAACAAGTTTTACACATTACGCACATTATTATTAAAAATAATTCTTATTATGTAACTAAAATTATTCACAATCAAATCACATAAAATACTTTCGTTTTTTTTTTTAGTTTCAAAATTTAGACCTAAAATACAGAGATAATATTTAAATATGACAACAGACTGGCATATTATGTCAATTTTATTTCCCGGGACGGAAATTGGTGGCGCTTCAAATCGGCACAGACATTTTGTATGGTATAGCCAGTCCAGCGTACTTGTATATATAGAGGTCGGTGATCTGATACATTCTATTTTCTAATAAGCCATGGCATATTGCCCATATTTAAATCGATTTTCACGCTTGAAAAAGCTGAAGTACCTTTAATATATTTAATCACTTGCAAAATGTACATTTAATAGAAAATAATATGTTATAATACCCAAAAAATTAAGATTTTTTAGAAGAAGGGGCATAAACGAGCACGCGGCTCACCTGATGGTAAGTGACTACCGACGCCCATGAACAACTGCAACACCAGGGGAATTGTAGGTGCGTTGCCGGCCTTTTAGAAACAAGTAAGCTCTTTTCTTGAAGGTCGTGAGTCGTATTCGTCCGGGAAAATCGCCGGTGGTGAACGATTCCACAAAGAGGTCGTACAAGGAAGAAATCTCCTAGTAAAACGCGCAGTGGTGGACCGCTAAGCATGCAAATGGTGTGCATGGTATCGTGAGTTTTGTCATTATCGATCATTATCGCGTGTAATATTCCTAATAGTAAATGCATAGTATTCAAACAAGTCATTTTCAATTCAAATTCAAGTTTTCAAAAATAATAAATACTGATTTTTAAAATACTAAGTGAGGCGATTGGCTGTGAGACATTGGGTGCGTTTGGCAGAAAAAAGCGCTAGCAAGCGCTTGTAAGCAAAATGGCGATCGTAAGCGGTAAGCGTTGTCAAATCGTAATAATATAGCTATTTTCCTCCAGGACACTGTGTTAGTTTTAACCGGGGGAACCTAACCTAATTTAAATATATGTTTGTAAAGTATTCATATTAAAAACTTACCAATCATGAATTTTTAATAACATGTATATGTTTATTCATGTCATTATATTACTTAAAACTAATATTGGACAAAACAACTTATAAACTCTACTTCAAAACAAACAAATTAAATAAGCAAAATGGCGGATTGTGTCAGCGCTAGCGAAGTAGCAATCGTGTCCTGGCCGAAAACTATTTCAGCGCTCATAAGCGCTTGCTAGCGCTTTTTTCTGCCAAACGCACCCATTACGAAGTCTGTCAACAAGAACCAATAAACACTAATTTCATTTACCGTTATTTAAAACGAAGAGCATGATAATGAGCAATCTTTATGTTTGAGCAGCTTCATTACGTCACGCGTTATACTCAATATTTGGCTAACCTTTTATTTAAACTGAGCTGCATTTTACTTAAAATAACGTGACTAATAAAGCGATACTTAATAGCGATATTTAAAAGGAGCATTAAACTGTGATAATATGTGTATAATATTAGCCTAATATTGTTTTATTCTTATTATTTAAAATGTTCGCGTCCTTGGGCCCCTACCTGCATCTAAACCTACCAGCAATCACATTTAGTATTTCTCGTGGCTTTTTCAGTATTATAATTATTCATTTGCTATTTATATCGCTTTACTAAAATTTTAATATGCAATATGGATATAATTGTATGTCACTTTTCGCAGTCCGTTTTAAAAATATTTACTATTAGGCAATAACACTATTAGGCAGTGGCTAATTTTTTTCTCAAAAATAATAAAATACTACTCAAGTCAATATAAAATATCATAGAATGTCGTTATCAGTCAGCAACAAATATTTTTCCCTCCTTTAATAAACTCCCATAGTAAATTATGACAGTGAACAAAATTTACAAGTATAAAATGAACCTTATTCATTTACTAATAAATGGGTTAATGCATTGCGTAAGGAATGAAAGCATGAATTTTACAATAAATGTCGATCATTTTCATAGGTTATATACACATCGGTACATATAAATAAGGATTTGAAAATTATTTTAACAGATGATTCTGTCGAGTCTATTATTGACATTAACACATAGGCACTTAGAACTAAATACCTCTCATTGAGGTCCATCTTGTTTCCGCCTAGCGCCGGCTGGGGAGCCGGGTAGGTATCCCTTTAGTCAGTCAATGCTCAGGTCGTTGGAAAAATGGCGCGACAGATTAGCGATATCGAGGCCCGTGAAGTCGGTGAAGATATCCGAGGTAGCGGTGGAGGGCTTCGCTCTACCGGGGGAACTACTGCTTGTGGAAGCCTGCTCGCAAGGGTCTATCGAAACTAGACGGTCCTCTTTGCTGCTCACTTCGAAGGGCTCCGATATGCCTGCAAATACAATTTATAAATGATTTAATAGTATTTAATAAGGTTTTTTATTCGAAAAGTTTATGCTGTTGGCCTTTCGGCTATCGAAATGGACTCGCGTAAGATGGTACTTACGAAGTGACGGTATCTGGATTTATATATAATTATGACTTTATAATACAAAATGCCTGAGTCCAGTTGTTATTAGTGTCATAAAGTATTCAAAATGTCGGCAATTTATTATAAAAGTTAAATGCGACAAAATTAGGTTCGTTTTATTTCAACACAGCGATAGTTTTAACATTAAACATTTTTTTTTAATTTACGTAGTATTAAACGTATTTTACGTTTTTTTTTATAGGATAGGGTGACAAACGAGCACACAGTCCACCTGATGGTAAGTGGTTGCTGCGGCCCATAGACATCTACATATATCGTCCATTAAAAACTCTAAATGCAGATGCGATGTCACCCGTGAGGAATGAGATGGAATGCCTCGTTTCCAGTAAAAAAGGGGTCTCCGGTTCTCTACACTCACCATAGGAAATACAGCAGCATTAAGCTACTATTTCACGCCGGTATTCTGTGAGAGCGTGGTCCTTCCCTGGTCGAGCCGACCCATTTGTGCTTCAACTATACTACTAATATAACTGCAGCATGGCTCTACCACGTAGTGAAGCCACGCTGCAGTCATGCTAACTGTAGCCGTGGAAGGAAAAGGGGAGATCTCCCACCGGGCAAGGTGTTCTGCCCGGGGAGCGGCCGGCACTCCGTGTGATAGGTCGGAGATGTTCTATATATACTGTTTATGATTCGGAATGTTGATAGCGTGATTTAAGCTTCGGTGTATTTCGCTTGTGGCGCGACGACAGCGCCGCTACAACACTCCACTGCTCAGACCGGAGGTCGATAGTGCAGCCTTGTTGCCGACGAATGTGCAAGTGCCAGTGGATTGCCTTGTAGTCTGCGGTGAGTCGAGAAGAAGGCAAGTAATCTGCGAGAGTGCCGTGAAGCAGAGGCGAGCAGTAAGGCTCAGAGCCGTGCCGAACACTGTATAGCGCAGAGAGTAGCTTGAAGGAACAGGAAGCATTATTATTCCAATGCTGCGATGAACCTTGTGAAGCTAGATGGCTTGCAGGATATGAAGATTGCAGACGATATCTGCTCGGGAGTGATACGGTGGGGTATTATATGACGATGATGAAGCTTGAAGTTTCCGAAGGTTGTTTTGGTTGCGTGTTCAGATCACGTCGGGGTCACCACTGTAGCCGTGGAAGGAAAAGGGGAGATCTCCCACCGGGCAAGGTGTTCTGCCCGGTGGGAGATCTCCCCTTTTCCTTCCACGGCTACAGTGGTGACCCCGTACGAACACCGAGGGGGGAAGATCCGGTACGAACACCAAGAAGGAACACCCTGCGACGTACCACTACTATTGCACGAACACCGCGAAGGAAACCCGTACGAACACCGAGAAGGAAGACTTCAGTTTATATAAAATCAGTGTAATCAAGCCGTCATTATGGAGCAGGAGGCAAACACATATACATCAAACCCGGTAAAGGAACCAGAAATCGCCGGTATATCTCTATCGTTAAGAATACCACCGTTTTGGAGAGACAAACCACGACTTTGGTTCGTCAGTTTTGAAGCCGCAACGAATGGTTTAAAGAAGAGCCAAGCGCAATTAGCACAGATGGTGATAGCCCAACTTGAGAAACAAGACATCGAACAAATTGCGGACCTGTTGTACAACCCACCAGCAGTCGACCAGTATAATTCACTGAAGGATCGTCTGATCTCCGCATACGAAGAATCCGACAGTCGACAGCTACAAAAACTTCTATCAGAAATAGAACTTGGAGACCAGAAACCCACACAACTCCTACGCAAAATGCGTACTTTGGCGCGAGATAAAGTTCCGGATTCAACACTACGGCTAATGTGGGTAAACCACCTACCACCACATATTCGATCGGTAATAGCAGTCAGCGAAACATTCAGCACGCAGACGAAGCTCGACGAACTGGCACTCCTGGCGGACAAGATGATCGAAAACAGCAGTAGCTCACACATATCGATCATCGAAGGCACTTCAACAAAGGCCAATGATACCCAGTTTCTTCTCGAAGAAATTCGGAAGCTATCATTCGAAGTCGCCGCGCTCAAAGCTTCCCAGCATCATACCTTTTACCAGCAACAGTACAACCAGCGCAATCAGCAACACCGAAGATCACCTTTTCGTCGCAACCGCTCTGCAAGTAGAAGTCGAATAAGCTCAACAGCAAGATCCCCTTACTGCTACTATCATCGACGTTTCGGGGTCGAGGCAAGAAAATGCACAGCACCGTGTACATTCAAAAATGAAAATACGAATACGGAAAACTAACTAGTACGCTCGATGCGACGGGATCCAGCGTAACAGCAAAGTCCTACCGTCTTTTCGTCACCGATAAAAAAAGCAAGCTTACTTTCCTTATCGACACCGGAGCAAATATCTCAGTGTTACCGCCGAAGCAAGGACAGAAGTTGAAGCCACTAGATTTTCAACTCTATGCAGCAAACAATACGGTTATTCCTACATATGGAGAAAAAACAATGGAACTTGATTTTAATCTACGCCGACCATTCAAATGGAGATTTATCGTCGCTAAAGTCAGCAAACCAATCATCGGTGCTGATTTTCTTCAACATCACCAGTTGGTCGTCGACATCAAAAATAGAAGAATCATCGACGGGAAAACCAATCTTGCATCTCAGTCTTTTGTACAAGCAACCAATCTGCCCACAATAAGAAGCATAGATGTGCAACAACCGTATCACAAGATCCTCGAAGAATACCCTGGTATCACAAGAATAACTTCAATGAAATTAACACCGAAGAACGACGTTGAGCATTTCATCGACACCAATGGACCACCACTTCATTGTCGTGCACGTCCAATCGCACCACACCTATACGAGCAAGTTCGAAAGGAATTCGAAAACATGATTGAGCAAGCAATATGCCGTCCAAGCAAAAGCCCTTGGTCATCACCACTTCACATTGTACCGAAGAAGAACGGAGAATTACGAGTTTGTGGAGATTACAGAAGACTGAATTCTATTACCACTCCTGACCGCTACCCAATACCGCGAGTCAGGGATTTCACTCATCAACTATCAGACAAGACTATATTCTCCACCATCGATCTCAACCGAGCTTACCAACAAATAAGAGTCCGCGATGAAGACATAGAGAAGACAGCAATAATTACCCCAATGGGATTATTCGAATTCCCAAGAATGATCCCAGGATTAAAGAACGGAGGTCAAACTTTCCAAAGATTCATACACGAAGTACTTCATGGACTGGATTTCGTTTTCGCATTTATTGATGATCTCCTTGTTGCAAGCCCTGATAAAGAAACGCACGAAACCCATCTACGCACCGTGCTACAGCGATTAGAAGACAACGGAATCACAATCAACCCTTCGAAATGCATATTTGGACAGCAAGAAGTTCAATTTCTTGGTTTCACCGTCAGCAAGGAAGGAATAAAACCGCCTGCCGAAAAAGTCAGAGCAATCATCGATTATGCAAAACCTAAAACTATCGAAGAGCTAAGGCGTTTTCTTGGGATGATAAATTTTTACAGAGAACACATACCTAAAGCCGCTGAAATCCAAGCACCACTTCACGCCTACCTTCACAACACGAAGAAAAAAGATAAAACGTCAATCGAATGGAACGATGAAGCCACGAAGGCATTTGAAGCTTGTAAAATTGCGATCCAAAATGCAGCTTTACTCGCTCACCCATCACACGAAGCAACCCTTGCTATCTTCAGCGACGCATCCGATCTCTCAGCAGGAGCAGTTCTCCAACAATACAGCAATGGGAAATGGCAACCACTTGGATATTTTTCGAAGAAGTTCTCCGATACTCAACGTAACTACAGTACATTCGACCGAGAGCTACTCGCTATTTACATGGCTATCAAGCACTTCAGAAAAACGTTCGAGGGTCGAAACCTGATCGTTTTTACCGACCACAAGCCATTAACATATGTACTTCCAAAGAAACCATCACTATCGGAAACACCACGAAGAGCAAGACAACTTATTTTCATAAGTGAATTCACGACCGACATACGTCACATCAGTGGAAAGGACAACATAGTTGCCGACGCACTCAGTCGCGTACCAATCGACAGTGTAACGTGCCCTACATCAATCGACTATCATAAGATCGCCGCTACATCACCCCCCTGCTCAGACCGGAGGTCGATAGTGCAGCCTTGTTGCCGGCGAATGTGCAAGTGCCAGTGGATTGCCTTGTAGTCTGCGGTGAGTCGAGAAGAAGGCAAGTAATCTGCGAGAGTGCCGTGAAGCAGAGGCGAGCAGTAAGGCTCAGAGCCGTGCCGAACACTGTATAGCGCAGAGAGTAGCTTGAAGGAACAGGAAGCATTATTATTCCAATGCTGCGATGAACCTTGTGAAGCTAGATGGCTTGCAGGATATGAAGACTGCAGACGATATCTGCTCGGGAGTGATATACATAACCGCATCACGAATGGGTTTACTCGATCGAGATAGAACCACAGTCTAACAGGGTACAAGTGTGAAATAGCAAAATAATGCTGCTGTGTTTCGCATACTGAGTGTAGAGAACCAGTGACCATTTTTACTGATTATGAGGTATTAGATTACAAGGATAGATCCTTGTCTTTCGGAACAACAACGTATCTGTATTTTGATTCTTAATCGATGATAGATCTATGGGCCATAGCGTTATCTTACCATCAGCTGGACTATGTGCTCGTTTTTTCATGCCTATTGTGCCTCATATATATAAATTTGTCACTGCAAAATATATTTAAAAATACTTAACGTAACTATTTGCAAGACATCATTCTGCCTTTATTGCTAATTTATTATTTGGCCAAAACTGATAAGATTGTATGCTATAAGAAGTTGCTAGAAAAGGCTCAGCGCAACGTTGCACTTTATATTTTAAGGAATCTAATAAATCTGACCGATAACATCGAATTGATAATATATATACTATAAGAAGTTGCTAGGAAACGCTCAAGACGCGCAACGTTGCACTTTATATTTTAAGGAATCTAATAAATCTAATAAATCTGACCAAAACATCGAATTGAGAATATATATAGGAACTATAAGAAGTTGCTAGGAAAGGCTCAAAACGCGCAACGTTGCACGTAATATTTTAAGGAATGTATTCATAAATCTGACCAAAACATCGAATTGAGAATATATATAGGAACTATAAGAAGTTGCTACGAAAGGCGCAAAACGCGCAACGTTGCACGCAATATTTTAAGGAATGAATTCACAAATCTGACCAAAACATCGAATTGAGAATATATATAGGAACTATAAGAAGTTGCTACGAAAGGCGCAAAACGCGCAACGTTGCACGCAATATTTTAAGGAATGAATTCACAAATCTGACCAAAACATCGAATTGAGAATAAAACAACGGTGCAAACTTTGGCAGATTATGCTTAACGGCGCCTCTACACGTTGGCCAACACAGTGCCGAATGTAGTGGCCAATAGCATTGGCCAACGTGTAGACGGGGTGTTTAGGCTTCATTGGTATGTATTGGAACGATGGCCCGCAAGTTGGCGCGAATCCGTGTGGTGTCGGTTTTTTACAAAAGATCAAAGGATTGTTGGCAGAGTTTGGTCGCCGCGTCCACACGTTGGCCGCGCGTTTATTTTGCTACAAGCTCCCAGAGTGATAATACGCATCTAATTTAAATTTTATATTCAAGCTTTGTAGGGTGGATGCCTCCCCCCCCCCCCCCCCGAACGGGTTCCCGCCTTGTCGTGGCGGGGGGGCTTAGTAGCCGTGGCTTGGTCTCCCACGGTGAACAAAGAGGAACCCACGTGGCTGGCCCGAGGTGAAGGGCCGGCCTGAGGTGGCCGCTCCGAGTGGGCTTGGGGAGCCCACTTCGGATGTGTGCTGGTGGACTGCAGCGAGTGGGGACTCGCGCACCCTCTACCGCTGCAGCCGAGGTGGAGTCGCGGAGGAAGAGGAGTGTTGGTATGGCGATGCGCCACTCGTCCTATCCTTCGCGACTCAAATGGGGCCGCACCGTTGATGCGGTGGTGGTGGGGCTGCGGGGGGAGAGGAATGTCGGTATTGCGAGGCGTCGCTCTCCCTACCCTTCGCAGCCGAATCTTGGTTGGCGGCGGAGCCATAGACCAGATCCGCCACTGGGGTCGGGAACGCTAGTACTTCTAAGTGCTCGTTTTTCCTGGCCCCATGGCCTTTGTGCATCGGACGCGGGGGCGTCTGTTGCACAGACGTAGTTGGAGGCCGTGGAGGAAGGCGCGCCATGTGTTCTGGTGCGCCTTACCTGGGAAGGAGAACGGGGAGGAATTTTCCTCTCCCGAGGAGGTGCTGCCATGGGGCGGCAGGCGCTAGTAGGGCCGCGGATGTGTGCGAAAGCGTTCCCGTAGCCCTGCCAATATGCGACAAAGGTGGAACACCATGGGGTTTTAGTCGGTGCGAGTCCGACATAACCCGTCCTTGCCCCCGCGAGGCGGGTATGCGTAGGCATTTCCCCATGCAAAAAAAAAAAAAAAGGGTGGATGCCCCAATTACCAGCCTTTTAGTGCCAATTTCAACTTTAAACATTCCTACTACTTTAATTAGCGCGATTTAATTATTATTGAACATTTGTTTTAATCAATAAGCTATTTATCAAAAAAAAATTAACGTTTTTTTTACAATCAGATTATTACGAGAACAATTTTAAAATAAAAAAATGAAGCACGTCAACCATGCAATTATATTAGAAGTATAGTTGCAGCACGAAGGTCGGCTCGACCGGGGAAGGACCACGCTCTCACAGAATACCAGCGTAAAATAGTAGCTTAATGATGCTGTGTTTCATATAGTGAGTGTAGAGAACCAGAGACCCTTTTTTAAAGGAAACGAGGCATTTCATCTTAGTCCTCACGGGTGAGAATGCATCTGCATTTTGATTCGTAATCGAGGATAGATGTAGATGTCTGTGGGCCACAGTAGCCACTTACCATCAGTTGAACTGTGTGCTCGTTTGTCACCCTATCCTATAAAAAAACGTCGATTTCTTATAATTTAATCGTGCAAGATTTCGAATCATCATCATCATTACAGCTCTTCACAAGTCCACTACTGAACATCGTCCTCCACAGACTGCCGCAAAGCATGGTCCCGAGCCACTTTCCTTGTCATGAGTTTTTCATTTATGTTCTAAGTTATAATTAGTACCTATTATTAAGTCAGTGTTAATTATACTTATTGCTATTGTTTTTTTCTTTCTCAAAAAATAATTAAATTACCAAATAAATTATAAGGTGTTTTTTATATACATCAAATTTCTGATAGAAATGCAAGTACATATTTTGCTAAACTTTAAAATAAAAACCCAATTTTAAAACATAGACTAATCGATTATAACTCCTTTAACATTAAAATAAGTTAAGTTCTTATTAATGGTATTTATTCCAGTTTATGATGCATATAAAGAATAAATAAAGCTAATCGTATATCGTATATCTATTTACAGCCCCATTAATATCCACTATTATTTTATAATTCTTTTATAAAAACCTTAACCCCACACTAGGATTTTCTCCCGTATCGCGGAGGTAGTTTACAAACATAAATTGCACAAGGACACACATCCAGATCCGAAACAATTATTTGTAGGACATACAAATACTTGTTCCGTGCGGGATCAAACCCGCGGCGCCCGGCGCAGCCACTCATTGCTGAGCCACTGCGCCACGGTGCTTATAAATTCGTCCGCACATTGGCCCGAATCGAAGTAAACTGAACAACCTTCCAACGTGTGGACGCCGTCACCAACTCTCGGCCAATATATTCGCCACTTCATTCGCCACTGTGTTGGCCAACGTGTAGAGACGACATAAGACAAAATAGGCACGTGCCTAAGGGCGTGAGGTTACAAAATGGCGCGAGCGGAAGTTTTGAAATGATAAAAAAAAATTAAGTAAGTTCCTTCTTACACAAAGTTAAAGAAACCTAATACCTTCTGTTGAGAATTGCGATGTAGAGCTTCTAGAGCAGCTAGAATAGAATAGTTAATTCAATAGTACTGGAATCAACAGCAGACATTTCCCAGACTGACCAACTAACATTCGTAATCCGATATATTCAAACCGATGGCGCGCCCGTTGAACGTTTTCTTAAGTTTACCGCAAATGTTGCTCACACAAGACAGCATATGCTATTATTAAGACATTAGGCATGTCTGAAATTGATATAATAGACTGCAGAGGCCAGTTCTAAGACGATACCACAAACATGTCAGGCATTTATAAGTTACAGTTACAGTCTAAAAGTTACGGTCCGGTCGGTAATATTTACATTCGTACAATTATTCAAATATATGACAGTCTAATTCACATAGTTTTGCAGTAAGGGATTTTTTTTATAAATATGAACAGCTAGCCTTGGAACCGTCATTAGTAAAAGAATACGAAAAGGACAAAAAGGACGCGGAAGAGAAAACTTACAGCTGATGAATCTGCCGAAGATATTATTTCTTCATTATCTGGTCGGAAAACAATCAGAAAGACAGTATAATATCTTGTCTTTCTTAGATGGACTTGTGGCAGAACTTCAAAAGAGACGAGAAAAGCGTAGCACAAGTATTGAAGACACATTTTCGTTATTAAGCAATTTGATTAATTTGAAGACTGACTGTCTAAAATAGAGCGAGGATGTTAGTAACGATGTATACGGGTAAATTAGAACAATGCTTTATGAATGAATGTATTCATCTATGTTCTTATTTACCATAGCTCGAGACGAAGAACTGCTACGAACAACCAACGCGATTCTAATGGTTCTAAGAATTAAAGAACTTGAAACAATTTACCCAAACATCGACATAGTCATAAGAAAATACGTGTCGACGGCAGTAAGCCATTGGAGTGGTAAGTGGAGTTTTTCTTGTCTAAAGAGAGTGAAAGTTATCTTCACTCAACAATGACAAATTAGTTATTGATACTGAACATTGAATCTAACTTATTGTAATCTTTAAACAATGACGCTGTTATTGGTTATTTCGCAAGAGAAAAATGTAGGACTAAGATAGAATGCCTCGTTTCCAGTAAAAACGGTCTGTATACGTTAAATATGAAATTCTACGTTTAAAATTAGTAAAAAAAACAACCATCTGCTATTTTTTACGATATTCACAATAACTATACATACATAAAGTCACATAATATGTATCCCGGAGGGAAGGCACAGAGACAACGAATTTCCACAAACTTATCATCATATCCCTCTTGCTTTCTTCACTCTTTTTCATTCATGTCTACCTGTTATGGGCACACTTGTCCTGGCCTACCTAATTATTTCGCAAATAAACTATATCTATTACAAATTATGATAAGTAGTTATAGTTTATCACATATATCTGCCAAAGAGGCGCCAATGAGGTGTCGCCTAGTGCGCTGTCGACGTTTAATCCGCCTCTGGATGCAAAAATTAAATATTACAAAAATGAACTTGACAAACTTACCAAGAACGCTTCGAACTTCGTTATTAGGCTGGCTGATGTATATGAAACGGTAGAAGCCAGGCGTGCGTACGCCACTGCCCACTGGGAAACTAAGCGTGATGGTGCGAGGTCGCCCGCTGGGCGTAGGCGCTTGTGGCAAGCTCACTTTAGCCAAGTATTCGTACGCTATATAATCGTCCAAGTTATGGAAATCCGCCTAAAAAGGAATGCACATAATTAGTTAACATCACAATTAATAATAACCTGCATCATATAAATTGAATTTGGTACATTTAGCTTCTTGAAATTTGGTCAATTTTCCTTTTTATTGTATAAATACGCCTTGCTCATAAAAATCGCGTAGCCTTATCGCCCTCTGTCTCATTTCTTTAGTAAATAGACAATAGAAAGAGACAGTTACAGGGTAATAAACGATTATACGAGTAAGGCTGTTGGTGGCAGTGAAATAATATTTACTAACCCCATAACTGTAAGAAGCGACCGAGGTAAACTAAACCAGGAGATTGGAAAAGAGTACCAGCGGGAATTAGTAGTCTTATGCTCTTACCATAAGAAACACAACAGTTTTAAGCTGCTATTTCACGCTAGTATTATGTGAGAGCGTTGAACTTCGACTTCGACAGTCGAGTCAACCTATTCCTTCTACAACCATAATATAGTTGCATCATGGCACTACCACCTACAAAAAGGACGAACTTTTCAGCATGTAAAGTAGCTAATTTAATGATATGATGAGTGTTATATTGATAATTTCTATATTATCATTATCATTGGAACCTATTTAACGTCCATAGCCCAACTCGCCGAACACCACAAATTGTGGTTTCAGACACATATGCTCTTCAGCCCATGCCACACAAGTTCGCCAGTTGGTTCAGTCGCTCGTTGATGTGGTGGATTATGATCATTTTACAAATGGTTGTATTTATAAAATTATTATATTGTCAAAAACATTAACCAATGCATAACTAAAGACTGCACTGGTGCTGACCTGAATTAAACCAAGCGGCAGTCAAAACCCAATCTAAATTTTAAATTTCAAATTATTCCACTTTTTTGTTAAGAAAGCTACTTAGAAAATAATTGACAGATTTACAATTTATTGAATCTGTAAACTTTTGCGAGTAAATTATGCATTATCATCACTGTATTTAACACATGTTGCATTTATAATAATTTTTATTAAACTTTAAACTTGTAGTATATATAGTAAAAATCTTATATGGAATAACAATAAAGGTAGGTAAAACAACTAGTAGGGTGAAATTATAATTTGAATAAATTGTAACTGTCAAGGATTCACTTTCGTGTTTTTGTTTGACAGCTTGTGAGTGATATTTTTTAAAATAATAGCAATTCTATTAATACTAATAATTGAAATAAAGGAAATTCTTTAACCATGCCTGGTTGTATTAGAAGTGGTTTTCTGCATGAATCGAATATCGGATTCTCACCCACGAAATTTCGAGTTCGCGACCCGCGATAAATTTTAGCGACGGTAGCCGGTAGCTAATTATATTTAACCACAGAAATCATAATAATAAGACAATAGAAGTGGCATAGACGCCGCTATGATGTTTTGACAAACATCATTCACCATTTTTTGATTTAGTTGCGCTGGGAACGTCGTATGTGAATTTATGTTACAATAAAGGTGAACTGCTGCATAATCAGTAGTAAAAACTCATCAAGGACGTGTAATTGAACTAATAAAGACATAACATTTCATCGGTAAGGTAATTATTTACTAATTATCATTGTTTTAACTAATTTACATCTTGATGAATACTTTACTATGATCACAGAAATAGTAGTATTTTGGGGTATTAGTAGTGTATTCTCATCTGGTTGGGCTGAATAAATATATAAAATGAAATGATAAATATAAATACATATTTATTTCATATACTAACATAAATAAATAAAACTCCAACCAGGATGGAGGCCCTCGGCAGGGGCGACCAAACGGCCGAGGGTCACGGGGAAAGGGAAAGAAACTGGCGGACGATGCGAGCGGTATCGAGGAGCACCGCCTTCTGCATTTGAGCATGAAGCGGTCCGTCACGGAGTCCCAGCCGCCTCAGATGACCCGAGAGGCTGAGGCTGCTGGGGTGCAGAAACGACTACAGGAATTATTTCAGTCGGCAGAACACCCCACATGTCGGTCACCTCGTGAGCCAGGTCCAGATATTTCGTTCGCTTATCTGTTTCGGCTTTCACGAGATTCTCGTCATACGGAATGGCAATGTTGACCAAAAATATCCTTATCTGTGCCTGGTCCATCAGCACAATATCAGGCTTATTCGTAAGAATAGTCCTGTCTGTGATGGTGACCCAGTCCCAGTAGAGCCTGGCGCGATCATTATCCAGCACGGTTTCCGGCAAGTACTTGTAATACGGCAATTTCCAGTCCACGAGACCGTATTTCAGAGCAAGCTCTTGGTGAAGAATTCTGGCTACTAGGTTATGCCTGTGCAAGTATTCAGAGTTAGAAAGCGCCAAACAACCGGAGATGACATACCTAAGTGTCTCACCGGGATGGCGACAAGCTCGACAGATGTCGACGGTGCCATCATTTAGGATATATCTCCGATGGTTATTTGTCTTAATAACCTGATCCTGTATTGCACAGACAAAACCCTCGGTTTCACCGAAGAGGTCACCAAAGCGTAGCCAGTGGAGGGAGGCTACTGTGTCTACGAAAGGCTCATGTAGAGCCTTGAACCTCCCGTGGAGCTCATTCTCCTTCCATACGGTCTACCGGTCGGAAATGCTCTGCACTGCCGGGTCTTGCCATTGCTCGTTAGCTAAGGATAGAGTAAGTCCTTTATCACAAAAAATAGTATTATTATTATTACTACGATACGAGTACTATCATTATTACGATTTCTGTGACTATGATATTTACCTTTGTAAACTTTCATTTATTACTTTTCGTATTGTACAATTACCATTGCTGCTTTTGTTCTACCATAATACGCGACGCACGAATGTCATTGTGCATTGCGTATGTTTATAATATTGTTACGAGCTTGAGATTCGTGACAATAAAAATTGCCGATAAAATTACCTAAATTAACACTTTAATTCTCTTTACACAAATTAAAACTTAAAACACTAATAATTAATCACACTAATTCACTTTATTTCGCTCCGAAGCTTCGCTTGTCTCGTCGAATTCAATACTTCCTCGATCGCATCTTGCAGCGCCTATTTATATAAATTAGCACGGAAATATCCAGAATATTCAAGTAAACACGCGCAAGGTACCGAGAGTTCGAGTTTCAACTAGGCGCTAGTGCCGTCGACTAAGGCGCGTAACAATATAGTAAGATGTGGCGACATCGCTTTTGGAAGTAATCGAGCGCTAATTCATTTCTTTTGTCTTATCTTATACTATTTCTGTGTATTTAAGCAATTCTCATGGAACTGAGCATTTGACTATCATTCACATGACACCACAGCATCATGTGAACTTCAAATTTCAACGCCTTAATCCTGAAACAGCAAGGGTTCTCTGCCTGCTTAAACTGTATTATAAAAATCATCATTACGAAACTAGATGGGAATAAAAAAATCATCAAAAAATTTCACTCAAACAATCTATACCAGTTAATAAATTAACTACTTATCAAGAACTTGAACGATTATACCTAGTTATTTTTAGCGTAGATTGCAATAAACTATTACAAGGGATCATTACGAAGTACCTAGGTAAATATTACGATAAAATTTGATGTAAACAACATTAATTACAAGTACACATATTTAAAAATTAGAATTTTTATGTTTTTTTATTGCCTTACATTTAAGTTAAAAGCAACATTTTAGTTGTGGCTTTCGAAAAGGATAAGGTCCAAAGAGAAATGAACCAGTTATAAAAGAATCATCTCGGTCTCTCCATCCAAAAAAATCCGTCTCTTTTTCATTGGTGGATAGGGAATGCATTCCGGATACGGGAGATTTATAATACGCGTTCCATAAGACCCGAGCCGCATTTGGGAAAACTTTTTAATACTTAAAATGGAGCTCATTCGAGCTCATTTTCATTGGTCGAATACCCGCATGCAGGGACTTCCCGCAAGCGACAAAGCAACTAGTCAAATAAGCAGATAGAAGTCAATATTCCAGTCAATACAATATTTTTATAAACAATATGGGTGACAAACGAGCATACAGTCCACCTGATAGTAAATGGTTACTGTGGTCCTTCAATCCTCACTAAGTATCAAAATGCAGATGAGTTGCGTACTCAAATGGAATACCTCGTTCCCAGTGAAAAGGGTTTCCGGTTGTCTACACTCACTCACCATACGAAACACAGCAGCACTGCTATTTTAAACTGGTATTCTGTAAAAACGTGGTCCTGCCTTTTGAGGTTTTACGTTTTCTTCCGAAAAGGTCAGCTATATAGCTGCACCATGACTCTGCTACGTAAAATTACTAAATAATGAAATTAAATCCAATCTTAAGGTGGGTCTACGCTAGACGAGCCGAACACGAGTGGAGCACGAGCAGAGCCTCTCTACTCGCTGTGTCAAGTGTGGACATACAACGAGCCTACAACAATCACTCTCCTCGAACATAGTCTTCCGCAGTGTGCTCGCGGCTCGTGGCGAATATGGACGACGCGTTTACTATTACAGCAACCGCTGCTCTAGCAGCGATTATTATAACCGAAGTCAGTAAAAAAGCTAACAGGCCAAGACGATGGGGTTCTACAAATTTATATAAAGATAGATGCATTCAACAAAAGCTAGATTTGTTAACCACTTTGAGAGATCAAGAAGCAACTGGCCAATTTAAGAATTTCGTTCGAATGACATCAACAAACTTTGAAAATTTACTACCTTTAATTAGACCGCACATAGCAAAACGATCATCATCTGTCCACATTTCCATGATGCTCGAGCGAATAGAACGTCTGTCACTAAGCACGCCCACGAGCGCACTGCGAGCGCGATGCAAATCAAACTCTCGAAGCGCGCTCGTTCGAGGCATGTAAGTCGGTCCAAACTACACGAATTTGTGTTCGGCTCGTGTTTCGCTCGGCTCCTCTAGCGTAAACCCACCTTTATGCATACCACTGCAAGACTTCAAGCTCATACCGCGTAGATCGGATCAAAATTAATAATTAAGGTTCCATTAAAGGCTTTGTCACACACAGCGAATAGTCCCTGCGAGTGTATTTGCTGC